AAAATAAAATCAGCAAAGTAAAGAAAAAAGAAAAAGGAGGCTCAGATTTGCCTTTAATCAGACAGAAAATGGCTCAAGCCCGCCATGGCTGCAAAAATCAGTAGTAGTACTTGTGATACTTGCCCAGCCAACATACGGGCTTAGCTCAAAAATCTGACTTGCATTTGACGCAGGATTAAATCATCACAGCCTTTGATTTTGGGGGTTTTGAGTGCTTAAGAAGCTGGAAATGGAAACAGCAGTAGAATGATTGCGCTCTTTGGGATGCAGCATAAAGGGTTGTTTGGTGGGTAGCGATGAAATCACCGGCGGCGTAATTGCAGAGAGGGGCAACAACCCTCCACAAAACTCCCTACCTCCCCCACAATTACACTGCCTCATTCTAGGGGTCCTCCTTCTACCGACGCCTCTCGATCTGAAAAAGCTGATAAAGCATGTAGAGACCAAGGCTAGTTTGCGAGTTTAGGATAGAAAGGAAAAGAAAGAAAACTCTAATGAGGACTGAGGTGAGAAGCGAGCTTGTTGAATATGGATTCTCAACAAAAAAAAAAAAAAAAGAATCGAACTTAGTTGAGGCTCAGATCCGTCATATCAGTAAGGCAATGAGGAAGTAAACCGCCATGGCTGCAAAAACCGGTTGCATGTCGGAGAGAACCCAAATCAGATTCTCCTTCTTCTGCCATCCGGCTTGCCCAACCAAGATACGGGCCACTTTGTCTCAGTGCCAAAATTTCATTTGCTCAGAGAAATTATCATCATGGCCTCAGATTCAGTCCTCCGTGATCTTTCTTTCTTTTCTTTTTCTTTTTTTTTTTTTTGGGAGTGTTTGGAAGAGCATGAAATTTGTGGATTGATGATGAGGAACCAGAAACAGACCTGGCACTTCAATTCGTCCATGGATCCATGACTAGAAAGCATCTTCAGTTTCTGCTGCTGAAGGGTTGTTGGCTTTGTGGAGACTTGGGGGCAAAAAACAGAAGAAAATCACTGGCTCAGGAGAGCGGCAACCACCCTTAAGAAAATCCCATCTCTCTCTACAGCCTCATTTCTTTGCTCTGAGTCTGAGGACAAGTTCTTTCGCCCATTTTTTGTTTTATACAACTTTTATGTTAGTCCTTAGTATTGTTTCCTAGTTACCATTTCTGGCCTTCTTTTCACTAGTTTTCGCGTCTTTGACATAATAGTCCATGGCCCCTCGTTACCATTTCTGGCCTTCTTTTCACTAGTTGTCGCATCTTTGACACAATAGTGCATGGCCCAGATTCTTGTCCAAATTGCCTGAAAATTTCACCAGTTGACTGTTCAGTCCTCCGACTCTTCCATTGATCCCTTGAATTCACCTCTTTCGTTTGGCATAGAATAGGAAGAGGTTTAAAATAAAATTTCATTTTTTGGATTTAGGCATTGGATTTGATTTCATTAATAATACAGTAACCATTGTTGAGAGAATTAATTAACCAAGTCTAATCACACTATATACGGTGAAGAAACAAAAGATATATAACAACATAGCTTAACTAAACTTTCACGGCCAAGAACATGAAAGTGCTTGGCTTGGTCTTCGCTCAGCTCTTGATTATCTTTTTTTTTGCTTATTTTTCAGTTGGCTTCCTTTTTTTTTTTTTTCCCTTTTTAATGAATGCCTACTGAAAATTATCCCTACAAAGGTCAGGGGTGCAATTGTCAGAAACTTAAGGGGATATTTTTGAAATTATCTCTAAGCCCAGTTGGTGCAATTGAATGCCGTCTACTACAAAGTACAGACAACCAAGGCAATAAAGAAACAAAAGAAGAAAAATACCTTTTGAAGGTAAACAGGAAATATCTCAGTTAAAATAAGAAATGTAACTTGAAACTGAAGAACAAAACAGTTAAAAATTTGCTAATAAGCAGTAAATAGAAAAAAATAGCAAAATGAAATCTTTGAGGGTTCGTATTTTTGGGTGAAGATTAATATCAGATGCTAACCATCTTGTTTTTTAAGTAGTTTTTTGGTCACAAGCAAAGCGCCTTTACATCATAGAATCCGAGCCAAGAATAGGCAGAGAGCAAAACAAGGAAAATCAAAGGTGAAAACCAAATTATCCCTAGGGTACAAAAAAGTGAGCAATCACATATTTCTTTCAAGAAATTAAGCGGAATAAAAAAAAGTATGAGGCTCAGATCTGCTATAACAGTTGGACAAGGAGAAAGCGAACCGCCATGGCTGCAAAATCGGTTGCATGAAAGGAAAAACCATATCAGCTTTTTCCCAATTCTGCCTTCCGGGTTGCCCAACCAAGATACAGGCCACTTTTTCTCAATGCCCCAAAATTCATTGCCCAGAGAAATCATCAGTCACCACAGCCTCAAATTGAATCCCATTTTTCTTTTCTTGGTTGGCTTAGCGCGTTAATCCTCAAGGCTAAATATACAGAAACAGAAAGACGACAGACATTAATCCTCAACATACGAAATATGTGAAAGCAGAAAGGTCATGCAATCCATTACTTCCGCTGGAGTATCCTCCAGTAGAAGGGCTGTTGGTATCGTGGGGGGACTGGAAAAGAAAGTCATTGGCTCTGCAGAGAGGAGCAACCACCCTCAAGAAAATCCCATCTCTCTGACCAGCCTCATTTTCTCCTCTGCTCTAAGCTCTGAGTTGACCAGAATTAGACAGGTTTTTGGCTATCAAGTCCTCTTTTATGTTACGACATGCTAGGAGTCAAGGCGTAGTTACTTTTGACCTTTCTGTTGATCATCCTTTTCCGGGTTTTTTAATAAATTATTTATTTGTATTGGGTTGTTTATTGACAACTTTTACATAGGAAAAAGGGTGATATTGAACCAAGTAACTCAGTTCAAATTTACGAATTACTTGCTTAATAGTTTGACTCGAGTTTGCTTTCACCAAATTTGAGGTCGAATTCAAGCTACTCGTTTAAGGTTGAGTTGAGTTCGAGTTCTAAATTCTTGTACTTAAAGGTTTGACGAACCTAATCAAGTTTTTTTTTATAATATATATATATATATTTTTTAAATTTTTATATTATTATTGTGAAATATTACATATTAATTTTTATTAGGTGAGTTCGATTAAACTCAAATAGCCTCGATTGAGCTTGATTAGAGTCATTAAATTTAATTAAATTCAAGTTCGAGTAAACTAAACTAAAATTGAACTTGATTTCAAGTTCGAGTTCAATTTCAACTTTTAAGAGTTTGATGAGCACGAGCTCAATTATTTTACCTCAAATCAAACCTGAGTAGTGACCCGACTCAATTGCACCCTTGCTAGTCATTTTTAGGACTTGCACGTTAGAGTTCATTTCCGAGAGCCACTCCTAGTACAATTCCATTACAAAAATTTTAGGAAAAATCATAATTTGCCCCCTAAACTTGATGCCTTTTAACACTTTGTTCCCTCAACTTTAAATATATACACTTTACCCCCTACATTGATTATTTGAATATTAATGATCACCTTTCCATCTAATTTTTTAATAAAAGACATTAATGCCAGAGCAGTTGGATGGTGCTAGCTAGAATATTTAGCACTTTAATGGGGAAAAAAAACACTGCATCATGTGATACTAAAAAAATAAAGAATAAAAGATGATGAAATTAAAAATAAAAATTGTATTGTAGAGTAAAAAAAATTTAGAAAATCCTCAAAAATTCTATGTTGTGTTGCTTCTCTTTTTCCTTTAAATTATAAACAAATTATCTTTGATAAATTTCGATTATCTTGCAACTCTCACAAGATTTTACAAATCAATAAGATGTGAATTGCTTTTCCTATGTCACATTTGCATCTTACCTTACATTTTGGTTGAGTTCTACATTATTTAGGAAATAATTGAGATTTTTAAAATACATTTCCACTACATGTTTATTTATGTCAATCAATATTTTATCCCTAATAAATTATACAATGCATTGGTCAATTTTATTAAACAAAAATAAGCACTAATATCGGTATTAAGATAAAACACTTTGAATTGCTTAGATTTTTTTCTTTTAATTTTTTGGCTTTTTATTGCTAAAAGTTTAAGTGCATGGTGTGGTTGTGTTTAAACCAATTTAACAATTGTTGAAAAATATTTATTTATTAGGTTATAATTGTTATGTGTTCAAGAATTAGCCAATGATATTTTGGTCTTGTAAAATATAACTTCACCTTAACCATATTAATAATATAACTTTAAGGGGTAAAGTGCATATATTTGGAATTTAGGGAGCAAAATATTACTTAGAGTCTAGTATAGAGGAACATAGTGTAATTAACCCAAAATTTTATTACCAACTCTAAATCCACTATCAAAATTTAAAACATCTGAGTATTATGTATCAAAGATTTTCTCGGTAACAACGAAAAGGCAGCGTAATAAATCGTGGGAAACTCGTAAAGAAATAAAGACAAGGAAAAACGTTGGCCGAGGCGTTTTGCTAAATTGTTTGGGAAGCGTGACAGGCTACTTGCAATGTCTTAAATGTTTTGCATCTTGTAAGCGAGGACAATTGGAACGTTACGAAATTTAAAACATGGAAAAATTATTATAATTTTCAAAGGGACAATAAATTTGTTAAAATTTCTACAACTTATTAGTTTTACATGCATAAATTTATAGTAATAGATTTTTTTAAAAAAATCATACATGTGTATGGAGATATGCTATATGAGTATAATACCAATTTTACTCAAAATATGACTTTTAGAGGTATCATACCATTTTTTTAAAAAAAATTATATAGCGCATTTTTTTAAAATTTTTTTGAAAATCCTTTAGTTACTAATAGTCAATGCAGAGAAGGGCTGAGCTAACAAGGTTAATTTAGTGAGAAGAAAATACTTAGTTTATACTTCATAGACCTTAGATATACATAAAGCTAAAAGGATTGTACAACGGCTCTAATTTTTCTAAATTTTTTCGTAAAGTTTATACTTAAGATTCGTTACCTTTAGTAGGACTGAAATTTTTCAGAGGGATAGTCAAGTCATTTTAGGGACCAAGAGTTTTTTTTTTTTTTTTTGGGGGACAGTCAAGTCTCAAGTACGTGGTAAAGGAGGTTATCTTATCTCTAGGCGGAGGAAGTTCCATTTCCCCAGGGGAGGTTTTCTGAAATGAACCCTAAATGCCTAAATTGCTAATCCCTTGGGGGAGTAGGGAAGATCCTTGGATTGAGGCCAGTGTAATTTGGGGCAGGGAGGTTGGGAGTTTTTGGGAATGGGTTGTTGCCCCTCTCTGCAATTACGCTGCTGCCGATGATTTCATTTCACTGCAAACAAACAACCCTGAACCCCTCTTGAGGTTTCTGAAATTATCCCTTTATACTACTCTGTACAGCTTCAATAGCAGATCGGCAATATATCTGATCAAAGCAACCGAAGGACCTGCGCTTAACTTCGACCATCCTTAGCCATCTGCCTTTCATTCTGGTTACCTCACTCTCCTCTCCAAATTTCACCACCACCACCCGTTGCGTATGATATGAAAGCCTTCTCGTCTTCTTTGCCCTTTTTATTTTTTCCTTCTCCTTCTCTTGAATCTCTGCCACCCACTTGCTGAGTCTTTGAACCATGGGGAGAATCCTTCTTCGATTGAGGCAGTGTAATTTGGGGCAGGGAGGTTGGGAGTTTTTGGGAACGGGTTGTTGCCCCTCTCTGCAGTTACGCTGCTGCCGATGATTTCAATGCTAAAAACAAACAACCCTTCATGATGCATGATGCCGCGAGATAAAGGTCAGACATCCCTCATGATTTCACAGGCCAGTCCATCCTAAATTCTGTATCCCACTAGTAATTGGAGGCTTTGATGATATCTTCCTTTCTTAGATTGTGTCAGATTTGGGGCTAGCCCGTATCTTGGCTGGGCGAAAATCACGGAAGAGTGGTTTTTGCAGCCATGGCGGGCTTAGCCTTTTCTCTGATGATGATAAGGAGATCTGAGCCACCACCCCCTTGCATAGGATATTAAAGCCGCCTCGTCTTCTTCACCCTTTATTTTCCTGCTGCTCCTCTTCAACCTCTGCCACCCACTTGCTGTATAGTGAAGAGTCTTCAAAGAGAGAATTTTGGGTTAAAGATTGATTTGTTATTGGCTGTCTTTCTGCGCAATTTCTCATACATTGGATACCGGTGAGTTTTTTTTTTTCTTTTTAAAATTTTTGATACCCCAATGTGTCTCTGAAAATCATGGTGAAAGCCTCATTCATGGATATCTGATGGGTCAATGCGGTTTGACTCGGTAGACTCGGGCGCTCTTTTGAGTCCCGGAGTTGACTGAGCCGGAATTTTCCGAGTCTGAACGAGGTTCCACCGGGTCTACCTTCTCCAGGATATGGCGGAACGGAAGCTGAAGTTCTGACGACTCAGACTCGGCCGAGTCTTTGAACGCCTGCCCTTTGGATGAGGCAGTGTAATTTGGGGCAGGGAGGTTGGGAGTTTTGGGTGGGTTGTTGCCCCTCTCTGCAACTACGCTGCCGATGATTTCAATACAAGCAAACAGCCCCTGTTGATGCTTGCCAGATGTAGTACAAACCTCTCTAGTGATTCCACAAAAACCCTAAATCCTAAATCCTTGTAATCAGAAGCTTCGATGATATCCGCCTCTTCCAAATTAAGTCAGATTCTGAGCTAGCTCGTATCTTGGCTCGGCAAAATCTCCCAATGGCGGTTTTTGCAGCCACGGCGGGCTTAGCCTTTTCTCTGATGATTATACAGCTCAGAAAGAAGAACGAATGAGGCAGCAGCAGAGGAGTACGGGATTTCTTCAAGGGTGGTTGCCCATCTCTGCTTTGCCTATGATTTCGCCATTGGTTACTAAAAAACCAACAGCCCTTCGAACATAGCCAGGGAAATATATGTATATATATATATATGTACACAAACACACGTGTGTGTGTGTGTGTGTGTGTGTGTTTAACAATAACAGGGAAGAAGCCCTCGTTGCGAGTTTTCTTTTTCTTCTTTTCTTTCTTTTTGGCGACGGTGTAATATGAGATGAAGGTGGTGGTGGTGGTGGAGGGATTCGGCGTTTATGGAAAAGAGGCGGTGATGATATTTGTTGGGCATTATTTCTGAGCGTATCAAATCGGACATTGGAGACGAACCGACCCGTAACTTGGCTGGGCAAACTCAGCAGTTGGTCTCGTCTCATGTATGAGCAGCTGCAGATTTTGCAGCCATGGCGCGGTCAATGTCTCTGTCCGATTCATAAAAGAAATCTGAGCCTCATCTTTCTGTTGTTTTTTTCTTTAAAAAAAAAAAAACATTTTTTAGTATATCATTTTGATACCCCTTTTGGTCCCTGATTGAAAAATATATATTTGAATCCTCAATCCTTTTATGTTGATGTGTGTCTGGAGAATGTGTCAAGGGAGGCTACAAGCCAGTCCTTGTTATGGACCGCTAGCCATCAAGTGTTTTAAAGAGCGCTTTCGAGGCCCGTCTCATGACGGAGCGTTTTGTTTTTTATACAGTCTATTTACTTTCAAATTTGTACGGATCGTATTTCTGTGAAAATTTTTAATTGTACTTTTAAAAAATTTATATAGTATGCATACATATAATCTCTTTACGATCAAGCGCATCATTTTTTTTTCTACAAAGAGTGTCCATCTCTTATTTTACTAATTATGCCTAGAACAAACAAAAGAAAAGAGAAACATCCGTTTGGACAGTCATTTTTCGTCGAAAAATTGCGTTGTTTTTAGTGATTATATTTTTTTATTATCTTTTTTTCTCATATATATCAAATCACTACAGTAATTTTTTTACAAAAAATTCAAGAAAATGCAATCCAAACAAGGCCTTGAGATCTTAATCTAATGGGTCTTTTTTTAAAAATTATATAAATAGAAGGATTCGAATTCGAGATTTCTCATTTAATATTTCTTACCTTCGTACCATTCAATCCATTCTTCCCTTCCAATCCATCTGAGTAATGTGTTACTTGACCTTTCAATTAATGTCAATTTTTATTTTATTATTTTTAAGAAAAATTAAGAAAATACACTGACATAATTACATCACAATTCAAAACAGACTATAACCAAAGAAAAGAAACAGGTAAATAACTAAAATGTTTAAGAAAAATTCGCCACGGACAAATGTTACGGCAGTCAAAACGCTGTTCATAGTAAACTGTGCGTATTGGTGTTCCTGGAGGGGTTTGAGAATTTGTCTTCTTCGGCCCGAGCGTGAATTCTTATGCCTGACTACACGCTCGTCTTAGCAGTACTTGACTGCTTTCTACTTACATTTTGGGCCAACATCATTGGTATGGTCGATGCCTCGATGGGGATGCCCATTTCATTCATGGACTTACTTAGGGGATTTAATCCCATTAATAGTACAATAACTGTGAACAAATCAATCAACCATGTCTAATTCGTATAAAGTAAGAAAATAATATTTTATACTTTTTTTGTTCTACTTTGACAGTGTTATTTTTCTTTTTTATCTATCCCAAATTATAGTTTATCTACACCTTTCAATTGAATAATCTAGTTAACTTTTAATTTATTTAAAATACTCTTTTTAATATAATTCATTATCAATAGATATGGCATATCTTATTTAATACAATTAAGTTTTCTACCAATAATTATTTTGATATATGTGTGTGTATGTATATATATTTTGAATGGTGCAAAATACCATCATTATTACTCTTGTAATTAATGTAATAGTGATTAGTGATAATATTAATTGACGGGTATTTTAGAAAAAATTAGACTAAATTTACTTTTCCAACAAAGTTAACTTATTTTTTTTAAACTGTGTGAGGAAAAAAACGATACTATCAAAGTGGGATGCAAGGAGTAATTACATAGCTTAACTTTCTTAAGAACATGAAGGTGCTCGATGTTGGCCTCTTTTTTTTTTTTTTTTGGTGGTCTATGGGAAATCAGCATATACTAGTGGCACATTGAATATGATTTTATTGACGACCCTTAAATTTGGTAACGCACAATTCAAATCATTACCAAAATTAGTTCTAAAAAATCGGTTCAATGGAAATATGGACAAATAAGATTATAGGGTCTTTATTGAGAACAATCCAAAGAAGTACAATCCAAGTAGTTGTTCATCACCGGATGAAATTTCTCAGAGACATTGGAAAGCCCCATCATCGTAAATGTGACAATTCGTATGGCCTGCACTAATTTCATGGTACAGCATTGAATGGATTCTTCTACCTTTTGAGCAAACCAATTACTACCATTGACTGGATCGGATCGTTCTACTTTTGAGCAAACCAAAATCAAGCCTAGTTGGTGCAATTTCAATGCGGTGCAGTCCTCCACAAAGTACAGACCATTTAGGCAATAAAACCATGCGTTAATTCATGGCACCGGTCACCGGTTTAGGGGGGCAAAGAAAAAAAGAAGAAATACCGTTGAAAGTAAACAGGAAATATCACTTTTGTGTGTTCCCTTAGAATAAGATAAAAGGTAAATTTTAACTAAGAAGCAGTAAAAAGGAAATCCCGAAAACAACATGAGAGTTTATATCATTGGCTGCAGACTAATATGAGATACTGACCATATTATGTCTTTTACGGAAGAAAATATTTTGTTTTGTTTTATCAGTAGTTTTTTTTTTCGACACAGGGATATCCGGGTCCTCAGCCCGACTACTCTCATGGTTCAAGGTCGTGGTCGCGATTGCGGTCGCGGCTTGGACCGTTTCACATCAGTCTCGACATATTGGTCGCGGTTTCGGTAAGACGCAAATTTTTAAAATATTTAATATTCTAAAAATTATTAAAAATATGATAAAAAATAATTAAAAATTAGCAAAAATAATAAAAACTCGAGCTAACTCAGGATGACTCGAGGTGATTCGGCTGTTTCGATCCGTTTAGGCCGAGTTATTGGCGATTCATTATTTCGAAATCATCTCGTTCCGTTCTAGTGACGACTCGGCCGAGTCGTCTTGGTCTCGGCCGAGTCTTTAAACCATGACTACTCCTCCTGCGGCCTAAGAGGAGAGGCCCAATCTCCTCAAACACGTCCGGAACTCGAACCGTGGTCGTCATTTCCTAAAGAGGAGCAACGAAACTGCTCGAGCTACCCGGGTTGGGCCAGTAGTTATTTTGACAAAATCGAAGGACCTTTACATCATGGAATCCAAGCCACAAAAGAATAGGCAGAGCACAAAACAAGACTAAGTAAAACGGTGAAAACCAAATTATCCAGTAAAATTGATGCATACAAATTCATTCACAAAGGCATGGTACAAAAGCGAGTAACATTTCTTTCAACAAATTATGTGAAACAAGAAAATAACCAAATCGCTGCTTTAGAATAAGGCTTTGAGTACTGAAGTAAACATGGGATACCAAAATAATAACGATAGTAATGATCTGGGCTGTTAGCCAAAAAAATTTTTTTTTTTTGAGTAAATGATTTATTATAAAGTTCAATATTTTCTTATCAGAACTATAAGAATTTTCACAAATGCACCCACAAAAAGCAATATTTTCTTAATGCTGCATGATGAGTTGATTCGAGTGGGTAAGAAATTAGGAGAAAAAAATGAGGCTCAGATCTGTTATAACAGTTAGGCAACGAGAGTGAACCGCCATGGCTGCAAATACCAGTTGCATGAACTAGTTCTGCCATCTGGATTGCACAGCCAAGATACGGCCACTTTTTTTCTCAATGCCCCAAATTTCATTGCTCAGAGAGGTCATCATCACAGCCTCAAATTCATTCCCCTTCTGCTTTTCTTGGTACAGTATGTAAATGATCGGGTACGTCGACGGTGGAAAGGTCATTATCATTGTCATCAAGGTGTCAAAGATGCAGAAACTGATAAACGACAGACATTGAAGCTAGAAGATCATCATACTGGAAGTAGCTAGTAAAGCCATTGATGTATCCTCCAATTCCAGAGTTTACAAGGGCTGTTGGTTTCGCGGCGGCACTGAAAAAGAAAATCATTGGCTCAGCAGAGAGGGGCAACCACCCTTGAGAAATCCCATCTCTCTGTCCAGCCTCAATTTCTTCTCTGCTCCGAGCTCAAAGTTAATTCGAGTATTGGACTGGTTTTTAGTGATTGGGTAGTCCTCTTGTGCTATCTTACATTGTTACTGCGTGCTAGCACCATGGTGCAGCAACTTTTTGACTATTCTGTTGATTAGTTTTGACTACTTTTATTTTTTCCCTTTTTCCTTTTTAGTAAATTAATAGTCCCTCCGTCTCACTTTGATAATCCCACTTTGATAATTCTGTATTTCTTTTTCATCTGTCCCAAATTATAATCCATTTTTTTAATTAAATAATGTCCCAAATTATAATCCATTTTTTTAATTAAATAATGTAGTTGTATTTTAATTTTTTTCAAATACCCTTATTCAATGTAAGTAGTTATTACTATAAACCTATCCTATTTAACGAGAGTTGATTTTTTTTTATCATCAATTCAAGTTCTTATAAAATTGTATCATATTTAATGTGAGACTATTTTAGGAAAATAACAATTTAAATTTATTTTTTCAACAAAGTTAACTATTTTTTTTTAAACTGTGTGAAAAAAAAATAGAATTATCAAAATGAGACGGAAGGAAGTAATCGCAAGTCACAACTTCAACTTCTTCCTCCTTTTTTGTTTAAAATAATCGTCAACAAGCTACTTTATTACTATGCTGTGAGGGGATGGGAGAGCCTAGTTGGAGCTTGGAGTTGTACGAGGCTAGAGCTAAACCTTCAAATTGGACAAATGCACTGTTACACTACCTAATTTTTTATATCAGACAAATGCACTACTGACTATTTTGACGAAAGGACACTAAACTTCCACTTAATGCACCAAGCCAAATTTGAATTCCCGCCCGGTGCACGGGAGTTCGAGGACGTTCTCTCAGGCATTGGACCAAAATCCAATGGTTATAAGTGTAGTTATTAAATCCGGCTTGAAGTTTGATTCGGATAGATGATCGAGTCACTAGTTCAATTGCGGCTTGGACTGTTCAATTGCGACTTACATAATAGTTATATAATATAATATAAAAATATATTTTAAATTATTAAAATGATAAAATTTTTAAGTTGACGATTTAACTTGTAGCTTTTTTTCAATTCATCAATTGAACCACTGAATCGTTGACTGGTCAATAAATTTGTTGCTTGATCGATCTAATTAGTGACCTAACTCTGCCCTACGAGCGATTCATCGAGTTGACTGATTTGGCCGTCAGACCAGGCCGAGTTTTGTAACTATGGTTACAAGTCACAACTATAACATAGGGATGCAACATTTATCCTTAGGGACTTGCAAGTCGGATTGTATCTCATTATGAGAATGTTATTTCCAAGCGTATATTCACATTACATGAGCAATAAGATCTTAATTCTTGTAATTTCTGACTGTTAGGCGTTGAAGATTTACTCATCAGCGACGAAAATGTACAAATAAATCCTGCGACAGTCATGATAACGAACTTTGAAGAAGTAACTTAGCTTAGTTAAAAGCATGCTAGCTTGTTAGTGCTGCTTGTTAAGGATTAGGATACTCCCAAATGACGGAACAAATTATT